CAAAAGTCTGTTCAGATGTCTCCAGGTAAGTTTTTCTACCAGGAAATCAAACCTGGGAGAATTCTCCCAGATAATTTGAATGTGTCGGCAGACCCTTAGTTCAGTTTCTAACCTTGATTGACTATTTTTGCAATATAATTATTATTAAATGATATTCTTAAATTGCACTGAAGAAAAGGAAATTAAGGCAGGTCATAAGGGCAAGTTTCAAGTACTTGAAAGATTGCCATAAAAAGAAGAGAGAAATATTGTTGTCCCTTACCACCTTACCTCATCATGGAGGGCATGATGAGTCAGTTAATTTAAACTACAGCAAAGCACATTTAGTTTAAAATGCAGAAGAATTTTTTTTAACCGTCAGAACATGAGGACAGAGAAACAAGCTGACAAGCTGGAAGGTGTGGAATCTCTATCACAGAAAGTTTTCATGAATAGATTGGATAAACATTTGTCTAGGATGATTTAGGAACATCATATTCTGTGTCTGCAGGACTAGATGGCTCTTGAAAATCCCAGGCAACCCTCTGATACTGTAGATGCTCAGATGTTATAGGGACAAGCAAGATGTAAAATTTTGTGTGAAATAAAATAGAAAATCAAAATGTATATGTGAATGGTAAGCTCAAGCTTAAAATATGTCATATAAAAATTAATGAGTCATAAACTACAAATTGGAATTATCATTCCTTTGAGGGAATAATTATAGATAATATCCAGGTTGCCTTTGTCTAGCATGTTTTAAAAATAGTGTTAAATCCAGTGTTAATATGTTTTTACTACATTATAAAATGAAGAGTACAGAAAAATCTAAATGGCTTCAAGATAGAGCAGACAAATATATTCCCCATAGATATTAGCTGAAGAAAAGTGGTGGTCCATTAATCTCCTGATTCCAATTAAATCATCTTTCTAATTGTCTCGGCCAGCTTCAGTGATCCACTCAGTGGACCACTGAGTATTTTGATGAACTCGTATGTCTTTTATGTTTCCATATTATAGATGCAGGTAGGAATGGATTGAATAATAGACTGAAAAATGAAATAGGCTGAAACAGTAGAATCTCATTATATAATTCAATCAAAATTGTTCTCTTTCTCATCAGTAAATTTTTTATAGCAAATTTCTGTACTGTATGGTCATATTAGAAAGATTTAATAATTTTAGCACATTAAGCCACATTGTAGAAAATGTATTTATACCTCAGACGCTCTTGAGCTATTCATAGTTAAATAAAATAAAATAAAATAAATTAACAGAATAAATTGTGTATACTCACACTCTTTTTATTCTTTTCTATATATTCTACATTTGAACACTTCAACTATTATCTCAATTGAGCAGTTAGTATTGAGCAATTAGTGTAGTAGTAAAAAACACTATCATATATCTGTTCCAGGGCTTTTGCTTGATTTCAGTAGTATATCTGCAAAATACTCTGGCTTCAAGTTTTAAATAGGGCTGATAGTGTTAAGTGCCTAAGACATATCATGAGACTTTGGGCACCTAATTCTTGGACACGTAAGAAACTTGGAAAATCCTAGCTTCTCTTTTTATAATTTTCTAACTTTGTACAGTCTTCTGAAATCTCAAGTAATTAAGTAGGCACAAAATGCAACTTATCATTATAGGGTCAAATCCTAATGGTCTTACTAAGGGCTTCTGTCACTCTCTCTCAAAATGGGTGGTACCTTACTGCTACATGAATGGATTTCTTTCTTCATTGGAGCTACTCATGGACAGCATTTCCTCTAAGCTGCTTGATGTGCATAGCCGTGCAGTTGCGCTCATACTGCTCTACCAGGCACACCTGTGCGGCTGCACACGCCACACAGTTTAGAGGAAATGCTGCTTATGGAGACCTGTTCTGAAGCACATTAATGTCAAAACAGAAGGTAGGACAGCGTAACACCCTGTCCGACTAGTTAAGAGTAACATGAGATTTTGTAGAAAGTAACCTATTTTGTCAGATGTTATGAAAGGACCTCGCAGCATCTGACAAAGTTGTCACTTGTGAAAGTTCATGCCGCTCTGAACTAGTCACTAAGATACCATCCTGCCCTACCTTCTGCACTGACATCAGACTAGCATGGCTAACCACTTCTCTATTCATTAAAGTGAAATGGAAGAGACCAGTGGTGACACATAGGGGGTGCATGTGCACCCCCTGAGAGTGCTGGTGCACCCCCTGACCAACCACACTCCACGCTTAGGCAATGGGTCGGGGGGCAGGCGGGGGCACTGGTATCCCCCCTGTAAGCACTGGCCAGGAAGTGGGAGCACTGGATGTAGCACTGCGGCCGCTTCCTGGTCAGTGAGTTTTTGCCATGGGGGACCCTCCCTCCCCAGTCAGTGAGATTGGCCCTGGGGGCATGTGGCTCCCCTGAGTAAGGTGGCACCAGGTGCCCATGGAAGAGACTATTGACTTAACAGATGTTGGCTCAAGATTGTAGTAATGGCCAGACTTTTAAATAGGGGTGCACCCTGTTGCATCCCTATGATGCTATAATGGGTCTTATGTCAGGCAAGAAGACTAAGACACAGTTGTCCTAAATTAAAAGCAAGTTTATTGAACCCTAACAGATACAATTCTAATTAAAACTGAAGTAGCAGTAGCAGTTAAAAATTTTAGGTTTGTACCTAGTCAAAGCAGATGCTCACCACCTAAAATGTTGCGAACGCAGCTTCACCGGTTGATCAGGCCATGAAGTCTTGTCCGGGGCTCCTGGCTCCTATGTCTGATATCAAGACAGGATCATGGATCGGTGACAGGATCTCTTCAGGATTTCTTCAGGAGTTTTCTGAAGGGTACACTCTCTCACCACTCTTTATATATCATATAACTTGCATTTCTTAAGACATAACATTAACTTGAGCCTTCCTCCTATTCATTTTAAGTCAGGGACAGTATTTTTCCATCTGCTTCTTTCACTGGGTGCAGATCTTGACCACAATTCAAGCTAAGCATGCAGCTTGAGCTGAGCACAAAGGTCAAACCCAGGCCTGAAGGCCTCTATGTCCCAACAACCAATAAAGATTTTCTTGGCCAATACCAATAGCCGATGATTAACCAATCATATTGACCCATGCTGATCCAATAACTGACAGTTCCTAACCACAGCCCTGCTTCCAGCACAGTCTGTGTTGCTGTCCCAGACAGGTAGGGTGGACCCTCATGTGAACAGCAGTGCTGGGTGTGTTTGGAGCCCAGCGGCATGCCACTGCTTCAGTGCCAGCAAGGCCCTGCACAGTCAAGTTCTGGTGGTCGCCGGGGAGAAGCCACTTTTGCAAAGGCACCCAGTGCCCAGTGGAGCAGAATGTCCCTCACACAGTGCCTTACCACACCCATGTGCAACCCAACATCTTTGCAGCAGCCCTAGTGCTCAGGCCCCTGCTGTGCACACAGTATTGCCATGGCAGCAGCAGCAGGAGCTGGTAACAATCCCTTTGTTGCTGAGCACTGTGTCCTGTGACCGCTTCCTGGCACCCCCCTCCCCGCCCCCACTGCTTGCTGGGATTTGTGGTCTGCCGTGGGCTCGGGCCAGTGACAGGGAAGGGGGACCCAGACTATGCTTGCCAGGGTGCTCTGAGCTTGCGGCCATAATTATCAGATATAATGACCAAAAAAGCCAATAGCTGATAATGTCATTTCTCCTTTTATCAGTTCCGATCTGATAGCCAACCAATGCATCAGTGCACTCCTACTTCTAAAGGTATTCAGGAACCTAACTTCCATTTAAACCTATTGGAGTTCAGCCATCTCAATATTTGTAAGTATCTGGGCCTCAGTTCTATTACACAGAAGTCTCATTGTGCCTAATAGGTGTTCTGCCTGATTATGACCTGCAGGATTTAGATGTAGTGTATAATAATCGGTAATGACAATCTGTTTTTAATGAAAGAACATCTTTCTGTCATTTTAGGAGAGCATTGAATTTAGGAATACTTCGAGATCCTGGATCAGAGGTTGAAGACAGACAATACCAAATAGATCTGCAGTCTATCAACATAGGTACTGCTCAGTGGCATCAGCTGAAACCAGAGAAAGAAAATAGTAAAGGAGGGGTCCTGACAGAGAATGAAAGAAATTCTCAGAACCCAGCACTTGAATGGAACATGGCCAGTAGGTAGGAAATTGCTTTAAAGTGTTCTGTTTTCTAGAATTTCCTAGAAAAAAACACTAAAAATATAATCATGACTAGGCTACATATTTTTCTATTGTTTTTACTTTCCATTGCAAAAATATTTTCTATGAAATAGTGTTTTGAATTCTACATTTGAAATTGTTCTTGCACCGTAATTATCGTGTAGTTACTCTGTCTCTCTCTTTCCGCTATCAACTTCTTTTTGAATGGCTTATTATATGGCCATAAAAAATAACTCCAGGCTTGGACTTGGCATTCAAGGTCTCGGTCTAACAACAACAGCTTGTTGGGGTTTTTTGTTTTTTTTTATTTCTTTTTCTTCCTTTGTTTGTATTTTCTCAAGGTTTGAATAAAACCAGTTTAGACATTTCTAAGCTAAAGGAAGACCAAGTAATTTTTTTTTCTTTTGGTTCTGAACTGTTTTTTGCGCTTCTGTAACTGAAAACAGATGCAGTTTTAGAATGACATATTTCAGCTGATTTGTAAGATACACAAAAAGACTCTTCTAGCTAAATAGGTTTAGTTCAGTTTCTCCTGGATTGCCCATGAGAGACTTCCATATAACTCACCTGCTGAAGGTGTTGCCAATGGACTTTGAAGGTCTTGTTCAATTCCAGATCATGTTGAGTCCAGCAACCAGATATGGAGGATTTTTACTGTTTTGGTCAAGTTCACAGTAGAATGAGGCCACCTACACACAGGAGACACAGCATAAATACATGTCCTTAGTGTTTTGCACTTAAAATGAGTACTTATAGAATCACTAGGTGCATCCAGACGAGCCTGCACGTGCCTCTTGCTGCATCTCACAGTAGTTTGAGACATGACAAGAGGCACACTGGGAACAAAAAAATATTCCTGGATATCAAACATACCTGGATATCCTGCCCCTTGCCCCAATGGTGCAGCATGCTGCCTGCCCATGCAGGGCATATAGAGCTTGTTCCAGGCTCGGAACCAGCCCAGCCTGATGGCGCATGGGGCCTGTGCGTGCAGGACCCAGCCCAGTGCAATGGACAGTTCCCGTGAGTGGTGCAGGGCTCTGGGTGACAGCCCAAGTGGCCTGGAGCTACCCAAAGGCGAATAGCACCATGCCAAGCCGGGCTAGGCCTGCATGATATGGCACAGGGAGCCAGGTGGCTGGGGCTGAGCTGCACAGAGGGGCTGTACTATGAGGCCCCGAGCACCTCGATGGCTGCTGCTGCTGCAGGTGGCCTGTGGGCCCTGTGGGGGGCACATGAGGGCCCTGCAGGAGTCACATGTTGGCTCTGGGGGGGGTGCATGTGGGCCCTGCAGGGGGGTAGTCCATGTGCTGGGGGGGAAGGGGCTGTACCCTGTGGTGGGGCAGGGGACCTACCCCTCCTTAGCAGCACCCCCACAGTCCCCCATACCCACAGTCCCCCCACAATTCCTCCACAACTACCCACACATCCCACCCTCCCACATCTCTCCACACCCACCCACATCCCCCCACACCCC